ATCACCAGTGACTCCAGCCATCCCGCCCATAAACTGTTCAGGCCACTGAGGTCTGGGAAACGCCTCTGTAGCCTGAAAACAAGAACGGAACAGTTTAGGAGGAGTTTTTACCCACAAGCAGTGAGACTCCTAAACCACAGCACATAACTGGACAACACAATGGACAACTACACACACAACACATAACGGACAACGACACACAATCTAATTTAACTTAATTTCTTCCATCTGTTAATTATAAAACATCTGTACCTCATGGCACATCTGCACCTTACCTTGTCTGCACCTTATGGCACATTATTTATTACATGGTAAATACATCTTTACTTCTGTATATATATGTATATAAATTCATTTTTCCTCTTTTTATACTTATCCTCTGTTAGTACTTATATACTCATCCTACGTCTAGCACAGTCGGAGTTCAGCCAGGGAAACACATTTCACTGTATGTTGTACCAGCTATAACTACATGTGACAAATAAAGAATCTTGAATCTTGCTTGTCTAAAGAGCAAAACGGCAAAACCATCTCATTGAGTTTAAACCTACACCAGGGGTGGGTAACCTTAAGGGCTGGTGTGTGTGCAGGTTTTTGGGCTAACCTTTAGGTCAGCTGTTCAAACCCCGGTGTGAGGACTCTTCAGCCAGTCAGTCCTCTAATTAGTGACCTAATTAGGGAGTTGCAGCGAAAACCCGCATACACACCGGCCCTTTGCGGATAAGATTACCCACCCCTGACCTACACCACGTATTTACTTTCAATGTTTTTCCTTACTACATTTTGCATTGCTTCCACTTATATTAATCAGATTCTTGTGAGGCAAATGGCTTGTTGCAAACATAGGTGTTTGCAACGAGCCATTTATTCGAATCGAGGTCTGAGCACTGCTGGTTTTCCAGCCTTCTTTTACCTGTCAGTCAGGTGTGAAGCCTCTGACCAATCAGAATCAGTAATTATTAAACTAATTACCTGTGAGAACCAAAAACAAGGCCTGGATTTGGAATCGAGGTCCAGATTTGAAGAACCCTGCAAGTATAAGCTGACCTGGCAGGCAATTGACAGGCCCAGCTGCTGCAACTTTAATGCGTGTTAATTATTCTGCAGGATCTGGGGATGGAACTGGGGGGGAAGGGTGGCTTGGCTCTTTGAGATGAGTGTCAGCAGGTCGTGTGTGGGCCTCAGGTCTCTGCCCGATGGAGGCCCTCATTCATACCTTTCTGCTGTTGTTGAGCTCCACATCCTCACCCACTTACTGGGTCTCCTCTCCGTCTGCCTCCGCTGACTGCACCCGACCACTATGATGCTGCTCAGGTAGGAGTATGACACACACCTACCTTCTGGTCCCTGGACCTGACCTGGCTCTGAGAGTCTCAGGTTTTAGGACATAAACCTGGTTGGAATTCAATGTGTAATCAATGACAGTTAACTATCTGCCCAAATTGCTTTTTACATATAATACTTTGAAGCATTATACTACTTATGGTATTAAATGAAATAGAACCAAATGCAAAATTATTCCAAATAAACCTGGACTCTGTTTAGAGCTAGGATGATGTCTAAATAATTTTATTACAGGGGCAGCAGGTAAATATTGTTTCCATGCTGAAGTATAGCTTGGAAAATTTAGCCCATGTTTCGTGTATTTTGTGCATTTTCTATGCATCTGACTTATTATAGTTCTGGTTACACGTTCCTCAGATTATAGAAGATGTGTCATTATTTCGTGTCTGAATGCCCTGTAAAGAACTGGCGTACGCTCTGGATCACCTTTGCCTTGATTTAATAGTTTCATATAAATATTACACTTAGTACAATAGACATGGAATTATTAGCCAAGACAAGCGTAAATTTTACAAAGGAGAAGTGGTGCCACTTTACAATAAGGCTACCCATACAAAGGGTTTATGAATGTTTTATAATCTGGTTATTAATGAGGTTGTAACACTTTGTAAATTATTAATAGACAATTTTAAACAAGTTATAACACAGTTTTCTTTTTATTATTGAGTTGCTACCATTTACAAGTGGCAAAAGGGAGCCTTATTGTAAAGTGGAACCGGAAAAGTAAATATGACATGATCCATAAAGTAATATTTCTTGCTTCTTACGCTGCACTTTTACAGTACCAGATGTCCTCCACTGCTGTGTGACAAATGTGTTTGGGACAAGAATTACCAACCCACATACACCCACTTTTCTAGCCCAATCAAATCCATCCCAAATGCTGTAAGGCCCTATTTTGGTAGTTCATCAAGAAAAAAGGAGCACCAAGCCTTGGCAGTGCAGTACCAACGTGTATCACAAGGCAGTGCTCTCTGTGTGCAAGGAAAGCACTGTCTTCCATGTCCATCTGCCCCTCAAAATTTCTCTTCCAATGGCTTCATGTGTTCCTACCCATGGAGAGAGCAGAGGAAGATGGTGAAGATTTCATGGCTGAGCTGCAACAAAGTAATTTCCTTGAAACTCCACCAGGGGGTGACAAAGACATTGAACGCTTCCTAACAAAGTGACACTGCTGACTGCAGTTCTGTAATTATTCATCCACCCTGCTTTTTATGCTCAAAGATAAGTTGTTATCTTTATTGATATTTCCTTATTAGCTGGTCTTTATCCAGAGAGATACTTCTTGCAATTAATGCTGGGTCTCAGACAGTGTATCTGTCCTTAATTAATCCATAAAAGATTGTATATGAAATTATGATTTCAAAAGATTGCATATAATCCATATGAAAGATTGCAGGTTCGAATCCCTGACCAACAAAGCACCACTGAGGTACCCTGAGCAAGGTACCACCCCCAAGCACTGCTCCCCGGGCGCTGAATTAGCTGCCCCCTGCTATGTCACAAAAAAAAAAGTCACATATGGGTTAAATGCAGAGGACACATTTCATTGTTGCGCGCTGTGGTGTGTTGACAATGACCACTGATCACCAAATTCTAAATTCTAAATTCTAATAAAAGTATGAAACTTATTTTTGGCCTGGATCCTAAGAATATTGGTCTCACTGAATGAACCTGGCTGCACAGTTGCATGTCTTCAATGCATGCTTATCATAACATACATCATAAAGCCATCTATCCTGTAGCCCACATGGCAGAGGAAGTGCTGGGTGCCTTGGGAGGGCGGGGTCACACAACCGCTATAGCTTTGTTTATTCAGCTATAGAGCCTAGAGAGTCACGGTGTTACTGCCTCTGTTTATTAATATGCTCATACGCCTTGCAGTATGAAGGCTTAATTTGGTCTTTACGTAATTGTTCAAGACTTACACCCAAGATGTTGTAAAACAAAATGAATGATGGATTATGAATGGTAAAAAGGTAAAATCAAAGTTTCCTGTCATAAATGCGAATGGTTTATTCTAATCTGTAATTGCCAATATGAAATGTATGAAAGCCTTAACCTAATCTAACTGAAGAGCGAGTTCATGAGAAATTAGAAATGTTGCCTTCACACACGAGGAATATCGGAATGGTACAAATTGATACTTTGTTTTCTGACAGTACACAAGCGAGGGAGTGTCTTTCTCTTTTTTGCAGATGCATGATGATTTCGTCTGAAAGTGCTCCCCGATGACTGCAGCATCAATTATTAAAGAAGGTGAACGTCGCACTAGTTTAAGACTCGTATCTCTCACAGTGGCACAAACACTGAAGATTCAAATGTCAGGAAAGGTTAGCTATCGACTCACATATCAGGGGAGAGAAGCACAAGCGTTTTGTCGAAAGTCGGACAACAATTGTCCTCATTCATTTGTTTGCCAGTCCTGTAAGTACACCCTCTACAGATAGGCCTACACCCGCTTTGGCAGTGTCTCCAGATCCCCCGACAAGCAATGCCTTCAGTACATTCTCCTCAACCGACACACTGAAAGCAGAAGTGCTATGGGCTTTGCAAACGGTTAGCCGACATCACTCCTATACATCCAATGATGACATTCACACTGTGGTGAGCGATTTGCTGGGACACAGTTAATTACTGTAGGAAGTTGTGGCTTACATACCCTTCACAACTCATTCAAGACTGGTTTTGAAGTGTGGATGGTGGAGAAAGTGCTCAAAGCACTACATTTTCTTTTCCACTCTGCACCAGCCAGAAGAGAGGACTTCACAGCTGCAACATCATCCTCAAGATTCCCTCTACCTCTCTGTGGCCATCGGTGGCTCGAAAATTTGCCAGCTGTCGAACGAGCATTGGAAGTCTGACCCTCTATTGTGAAATATGTGGACTTGTGAAGTCAAAAAAGGTGAAAAACCGAGGGACATCTTCTTTGACTGCATTTGTGAAGCCCGAATGGATCCCCTTCTTTTGGCCAAACTACATTTTTTTCATGGCCCTATCACGAGCATTTCAACCATTTCTGGCTAAATACCAGACAGGTGTTCCCATGATTCCCTTCCTTTGGAAGGACTTGGCAGATTTGATCTGGGTAAATATTCACCACCACAGTAACAACAGCAATAAATGAACATGCAAACACGCACATGTGAACTTTACTCTACTTTTATTTTCAGACTCTCTTTCAACGCTTCATCATTCATTTCATTACCTAAGACACTGTTAAAGAGTCAAAAGACAGACCAAAAGCATTTGTTGCATTTGTTATCACACACAAGTCGCATTGGGGGAATGCATTATTCTCATGGATGTCCATTATCTCAAAAACTAGAACCAATTCAGCAAAAGTAATGTGATTTTTGAATTCAGCACCCTCAAAATACCCTAAATCCACTAAAAAAACCTTGGCACCTGAAAAAAAATCTTTTTTTGTAAACCTGTGTAATAATAATAATAATAGGCGTAAAAGTATCCATTTCACGTGTCACCCCCTACACCTTACCAAAAAGAGTACACGCAGAAGTCAAAATAAAAAGTTTGGAGGTTTGGAGGAATCTGATAGAGGGCGCTCTTTCCCCCTAATTCATTGGGCTATAATAATAAGTTAAGCAGTTCACTGAATGTGGGCGTGTTCACGCATGCTCATTGAAGAACAAAAAAAAAAGGATTTTGACGCGCAAACGCAGAAAGTCCAATGGTAATGCTAGAGCGTGCGCAGTATCTGCACGCGGTAGAGAGTATTTTCCTCCCGAGAGCGTTCGCTGGAGGGTGTGATTGTTAAACGACAGTAGTCTATACCCTCCTTTAAAGTAAACGAAAAACACCAAAATATATATAACATCACATCGAACTACTCCAACCATTTATGCACTGTGACCCGGCTTCTGAACCAAGACCGGTAACTGTATGCGGGAGTCTAGCTACATTCGCACCGATTGATGCTCGGCTTTAGGTGCAGGTCCCCGACCCGCGCGGTGACTCGGCTCCGCCGTCTGCGCCTGAAGTCGGAGCGCCTGGCGTGCGCAGGTTGGTGCTGCGACGGGATTCTAGGTTTGTTTTGCGCCGAATTATTATAGTGAGGAGCGGGAATCGTCCCCGCTCGCCGTGAGCGTTTCAGCGGGATCCGGGCGTACGGAGCGTAAACATGGCGGAACCTGAGGAAGCGACGCATTCTGGGGTGAGTGCAGAGGGACGGACTGCCCAGTGCATGCTGTTTACGCGGGGCTACTGAGTTTACTAGTTAATGCATGTTGATTCAGTGCCCTGGGCTGTTTTTGGGCTGCTGTGTATCCGCTACAGACTGGTCAGAGCATAAGCTTGCTAGGTGCGTGAGAAATACCAGGTGTTTTGTAGAATTATCCCATAGTTGCCAGTTTCAGGTAATTAGCTAACAACACCCGATGGGGTGAGTTTCACGTACTAGTGGTGTTGGATGCGGGAGTCGATGCATGCATGGTGAAGTGTTGGTGAATTAATTACTTAATGATTACTTTGAAGTGCATGCATAATTTGATAGAAGTAGGAATTTCACATAACCATCTCTGCTTAATTATGATGAAAGTACATTTTCGGGTAATTTGGGAATACTTCGGGTAATAATAATAGCGATGATGAGCAAAATCGAACTGGTTCATTCTTTATCAACTTGCTGACAGAACTAAAATGTCAGTAAAGCGCGACGTTACTTTCTCCAACACAGCTGTTGAAAGCTCTCTGTCATTTGTTTAAATTAACTTGATTTTCTCCTAAGTTTTCTGCAAGCGTGATCGTCTGCTCTGAATTGTGGGATGGGTGATAAAGGAGGGGGAGGGGGGGGGCGGAGCTTATCCCAGGCAGGACAGGACACACATTGGGGGTCTGCCCTGGACGGGATGCCATGCCATCACAGGGCGTACACAGTGGTACCGTACGGACAGCTTGGAGAGGCTGTTTAACCTAACTGCATGTGTTGGACTGCGTGAGAAAAGCAGTAGGAATGAGAGCTCTGCCTGTTAGACCATGGTGCTGCCCAGTGGGTCACCAATTTATAAATAATTCATGCCTTGAATTAATTTACAGGGGTTCATGCATCTTATTTTTTGTAAACTTCCACTAGTGTGGTTTGCGTGCTGTACCTTTTTAAAAAAAATACTTCATCTGTTTTTAAAAGTTGCTTTGTGTGCTTTTTAAAAAACGTCAGGCCTTAAGATTAAGAGTGAGATTATGTTTTGATGCTGCAGTTTGCCGATGAGCCAGTGGAGGTTTCTGAGGGAGTCACTCAGCAGGGTGAGTCCACACCTGGGCCTGTGGTTGATGGCTGCAGCGCAGTGTGGTGACTGCAGATTACCGTAACGCACTGAACTCTCTGCCCTGGCAGTTTCAGCTGCTGATGTGACCGAGCGTCGGGCAGAGGAGGACATGGATAGCTGTGTGGGGGCCTTGAACTGTGACCCAGGCCTGTCGCAGGATGTGAGCGATGAGAAGGATCAAGAGGATAATGAGGCATGTGAGGATCACACAGAACCCCTGGGAGATGAGGAACAGGACGCCGGGAGTGGGTGTGGGGCTGACATTGGCGAGAGCGCCCCCCTGTGGGAGCTGAATGGGAGTGGCGGTGAGACGACTGTGGTGGAGCCTAGTATGGAGGATGAGGGCCTGGATGGTGCTGCAGAGGAAGATTGCCGCATGGAGGTGATGCCCGGCAGTGTGGCAGGATCTCCTCCAGTGGAAAGTCCCTCCAGAAGACAGGATTCAGAGAAGCAGGGGTTGAATGGTGCCAACAGCCCACACCCAGCAGTGGGCGCTGGTGAGTCAGCATCCGGATGTTGTACGCTTTGAACACCCTGTGACTGTTCCTGCAGCTAAACGTGAAGAAATGGCAGCTTCAAGGCCTCATCGCAGCAGGTTTCAGACCCCATCCACCATCACTGAATGATAGATTATCGTTCATGGGAGTTATTCAGAATGATGCAGGATTCACTTCAGGTCACAGTGCATTTAGGTAGGTAGATAGGTAGGTAGAAAACTTTATTAATCCCTCAGGAAGGTTCCTCCGGGAAATTCAGTTTCTAGTAGCACCATACAACATATAAACAACATAGTTACACATACACATACATTACAGTGACAGATGAAAGTATAGGGAGAAGTAATAAATAATGATGGGATGATGGTACTACTACTAATAAAATCAGTCTATTGTACAGTTAACGTTTAAATGTTCAGACATGAAATGCATGTACTCTGTGTTAACATTTAATATGAACTCTCTCAGACTTCACTCAAACATGTCAGATACCTTGATTTCAGTCCCTCGAGATGCTAGTCACTGCAAATATGCTGTATTTGTGGATACTTAGTAAAGCCCAGTTCATATTTCCCTTTTCCGTGTGTCGTTATAGTTCTCTCACAGGGTGTGTGTGACGTAAATTTCGACCTTGGGGGTGTGCGGCCGACTGCAAGTGCAGCCCAGATTTTTGTGTCTGGCGGACATTTTGAGTGTTTGTATGTTTGCTGCGCATGTACAAGGAAACTGACTAGGTGTTTCCAGTAGGTGGCAGTAGAGGAAGTTTAGTTGTAGTTGTTGATGCTTTCAATAAGCAACTGTGTGATGAGGTCTAGAGGTACCTGCATATATAACTCATCATTGAAGGAGCACAAACATGTATTCTGCTGCACAAATTAGTAGAAAGAAATTTCCCAAACACTGGGCAAAGAATAGAACATTATACTGCAGTATGTGATAGAGCTGGGCGATATGGCCTAAAAATAAAATCTCTGATTTTTTTCACAATAAATCCGATTTTCGATTTTAATCAATTTTCCCCTCCCCTACTCAAAATCAAACTACAGATGACAAATAAATGGTTCGAAACAAGTTTTAACTTTATTTTGTTTTATTTTTTTACTTTAAAGTTAAAGTGCAATCTGACAAGCCAAAAAATATGCTTGTGAGATGGCAGACCACGCCATTGTGAACACTTTTAGAAACTTGTAAAAACTTTTAGCATGTTAATGAATCCCGGCTTTTCCACAGTATGTATGGGCACCATGTCTTTTGCAATATACATCGCGACAGCGTCTGTTATCGCCTTCCACCGTGCCCCATTCTTATCACATGGCACACAGTTCGAAAACGTGTCGGGGACGGTTGCTTGCTTAACTTTGGATGTTGTGCTGGTGCTGCGGCTATTTTCATTTCGCTGGGAGCTGCACTTCTCCCACTCCGCTGTGTGCCTCTGCTTTAGGTGCTGGAATAAATTTGTCGTGCTGCTTCCTTCCAGTTTTTAAACAGACTTTGCAACGGGTTCTTGTTAGGTCTGTGTTCGACGGCGGAAAACCGAACCATTTAATTGCCGTGTTTGTGAATCCGCTACAGTGTTTGGGTGCGCCACGCTAATTTACCCGTGAAGTACGGTGCGTCGTATTAGTTCCGCTTTTGACGCTTGTGTGTAAAATAAGTAATAAAATCGATTTTCATAAAAACACATTGTCCTGAACTGTAAATTCGAATCAATCGATAAAATCGATTTATCGGCCACCTCTAGTATGCGGTATAATGTTCCAGCATTTGAATTCTTGGCAATTTAAAATTTGTCGAGCTGGAGGCAGTGAGGTCCGGGCTAATTCATTTGTCCGTCGGGGACAAATAAAGTTATTTTGAATTGAATTTTGAATTGAATTTTGTCGCCCAAGCTAAGCAACAACTTTACAACTTCATGCCCATTTCACTACACTGCTTGTTTTTGCGTTTGTTGCAATTTGTCTGCCCTCTGTTGGTCTGGTGGAACATCACTGCCGACTGCATCCATCCATCCGCATCCACGGACAAATGCCCCAGATACCCAGGGAAGGTGTTTGTCGTTTTCCTCCGACGTTTGGGAAACACGCCTGTCCTGAATTTATGTGAGCTGGTTTTATCTGATTTACATAGTGACTAGTGTTGAAGGCTTCAGTCCATCAGGGTCACCGCTGAGCTGTAATTTTATATTGTCAGCCGGCCGCCACCGTGATGTTGAGGTGAATGTTAAATGTGTTCCTGAGCCAAAATGGCGGTGGATGTTTGAGTAACTGCGTGGTTTGACGCTGTGCGGTGTTCAGTCCAGCTGCCTTTTTCCATACCTTTGTCTTCAGAGGATGTGAACCAGCCACTGTTGGTGGAAGAAGAGATGGACCTTGTGATGCAGTCTGTGGAGGGTCCTGAGCAGGCGGAGCAGGAAGCCCCCAGCAGGACCCCTTCCTCCCTCCTCCCTACTTTGGTGCCCAGGATTGACACCACCGACTGCAGCCTCGGTAAGGCTGAGCCATCCTGTGTCTTTTGCTGGTTAGTTTTTAGCTCTCTGCACCTTGGCTGCTTATTGTTGTGTGAGAGAGGTAGACTATCTTGCTGAAGGGTCTCTGCGGGTTTCCCCCCCCCCCCCCATAATTTTATGTCATCTCTCCCCTTTGCGTTTTTGACCATGAACATTTTGGGATTACAGCAGTAGGCCAGAGAAATCAGGCCCTGCAACTTTGAGATTGAGTGTCGTCCATCTGTGTTCCCCCGCAGGCGGCCCCGCCGTCTCAAACGAAGGCACGAGCATCACATCAACTGCTGTTAAGGGGGCCCAGGTTAGCAGAGGCTCTCTAACGGTGACGACGTGGGCCTATTCTCGGACAAACACTATAAGTAAGTGAGAAGGAAGCATATTTGTTTGGTCTTTTCGTTTTCTGGTTTGACTTAGTACGACTCGGACTTGAAAGATGTGTTTTGTTTGGCCAATCGTCTTTGCAGCCAGCTTGAAAGTTGGGGGAGGTGTTAAGAGAATCTCTCCATGGGGATTGTTAAAGTATTATTATTATTATTAGTTTGCACAGAAAATAGCATGTCTGTGGCTCAGTGGGCTTGAACGTTGTGACTGTGATCGTAAGGCAGCTGGGGCAAATCTCGGGGTTGGTAGAGTGATGTCATTGTTGGGCGCACATGCTGTGCTGCAGGCCAGTGTGCTGTTGAATGACATTTCGCTTCTCTGTTCAGTGACGATACCGATTTTTACACTTATCTGTTGCTTTATTACAGATGGGAACGCGGAGAAGCTACATGAGGTACACACGCCGCCTTTGCAAATCAAAGACGAGCCGGTGGACGAGGAATACGACCGCGCTCTCGGAGTGCACCCCCCTGTGGGGGGCATCAAGGACGAGCCTGAAGTCTCAGAGGTCAGCATCGCAACTCCCGTCCTTTGCCCGGCCTGATGTCCGTCTTACCCTGGCAGCTGCCGTTCCTTAGCCCCTGTATGTTGTGGCGTTTAAGCGGCGTACGGGCCCGGGGGTCTGATGTAGTGTGACCGCAGATGAGGGTCGCGGTGGTGAGGGTGCCGCTTTGCGATCCGCAGGAGCTGGGCCTACAGCAGAACTCCGAGGAGCTGCGGATCAGCGCCGTCTTCTCCGTCAGCGGAAACTCCAACCCCACTGGTGAGCGCCGAGAAGGTCTTCTGGTTCACTTTACTGAAAGGGTCCTACAGAAGTTGGTAACCTTCCAGCTGACTGACTATCAATGGGTAAAATTTAATGTCTTAGCCTGCTACATAGAAAAGGTATTTTCCGAATGGGGCGGGATGCTCTGGAGTTGGGTTTTGCTCCGTGTTTGTTGGGCCTTCGCTTTGTTCCGGTGTCAGTCTCTCATTATGTCTTATTTCCCTTCCTGTCCTGACCTCCTCCTCCCGCTCCGCCCTCAGCGCCAGTATCGACCCAACCCGTGCAGATGGTGGCCGCCGCCCCTCCCAAGACTCTGATGGTCACCATGAGTGCAGCCCCCCCCCTGACGCCTCTGGCTCCCGCAGCCCCGTCCCCCATGGGCGGAGTGCGCGTCTCTTGCTCGGGGTGCCGGAAGGTTCTGCTGAAGGGCCAGACAGCCTACCAGCGCAAGGGCTCCTCCCAGCTCTTCTGCTCCACCATGTGCCTCACGGGCTACACCGTCCCAGCTGTCCAGTCTGTGGCCAAGAAGACATGCCACTCCTGTCAGAAGTAACCATTGTTTTTTTTTCTCTCTGGGCCCCCTGTAGGTCAGGATATCACATTGCAGCCTGAAAAGCTAGGAATGTTTATTTCGTTCACGCTTTTAGCCTGCGGTAAATTTTATCACACCTGTACCTGGCAGGTTGTTGGTTTGAATCCCAGCTGCATAATTGTTTGCTGCTCACCTGAACTTGCTTCTGAACTGTGGCACATTTGTGGCTCTGTGGTGTCCTGAGGGACACGTCAGACACACTATGAGTGACACATTAAAACATTAATGACAGGTTTCCTCTAGCATAGTGTTTCTCATCAAAGTCCTCAGGGAGCCCCACACAGTCCCCATTTTTGCTCCCTCCCACCTCCCAGAGAATCGTATTGGGAGCTGGGAGAGCGCAAAAATGTGTAATGTCTGGGGTTTCCCAAGGACTGGGCTGGGAAGCGCTGCCCTAGAAACCCCCCTGGATTATGTGGAGCACGTGTGCTCAGCTGGGGTAGCCTCAGGACCCACATTTTTCCTTGGTCATTAAGTCATGCCCTAAATTTGTAACATTTAGAGGTTTTAAAATTTCAGTTATCCGAATGAAACCCGAGGGGAGAAAAAATAGGATGTGCATATAATTTGTCATGCTTGCCGACGGGGGGCACTGACGGTAAAATTTTTTAACCACATACTACAACACCCACAGAGGAAGGTGATATGGGAGTTTTACTTGCACAAATATGTTCTGAGGACAAAATTACAAATGATTGGTTCAGAGAGAGAGCCAATCAGATTGTGGAAGAGGTGGGTCAAAGCAACCAATCAAATGTCTTGGTCGTACTCAGAGGCATCTTTGAAATAGCCAAACCCTGCTGGTTCCTGTCCTCCCCTTAGGGAAATCAAGAACCCAAAGGACGTGATCATGGCTCCGGTGGACTCGACGGGCAGCATGAAGGACTTCTGTAGTCATAACTGCCTCACCGAGTTTGACGTGCTTAAGAAGGCAGCGGCGTCCACGGTGACCGACGGTTCCACCATCAAGTGCGGCATGTGCCAGAAGACCGCCGTGGTGAGGAGAGGCGGGGCTTCACGGAACATGCTCCAGTTTGAGGTCAAGGGTCATGAGTTGGCATGCACCAAATGGAATTTGTGAACTGCTTTATAGTGATAGCAATAATGATCAATTTTTGTAGCATTATTAATTTTTTTTGTTTAAGGAAAATGTGGACTAGCTTCCATTATTGTAGTTATTATTGTAATAACTTTTGTACTTGTATTACTGAAATGAGAGCTGTTTTAATTATGGCTTTTTTCATTCAAGGGATCTTTTGTTAGTGTCTGGTTGTCTGTCTGTACAGTTGCACTGAGCTGTAATAAAACAGGGTGTGTCTATAAAGCTCTGCTGGTTTCTATCTCCCTCTCTCCTCCCTCCTGCTCTCCTTTATCCCTCCTTCCTCCCGCTCTTCATGCTCTCTCCTCCATCCCTGTCTTCCTTCTCCTCGCTCTCTCCTCGCTTTCTCCGTCTCAGATCCGCCACGAGGTGAAATACCAGGGCGTGGTGCACAAGCTGTGCAGCGATGCCTGCTTCTCGCGCTTCCGCACCACCCACCGCTTGACCATGAACTGCTGCGAGAACTGCGGCAGCTACTGCTACAGCGCCAACGGGCAGAGCCACATGCTGCAGATAGAGGGCGCCACCAAGAAGTTCTGTAGCCCCAGCTGCATCACTGCATTCAAACAGGCATGCCCCCCCGCCCGCCTTCCCGTACGGATGTGCCGACGAGAGCTCGCCGCTTGTTGGTCTGTTATCAGTCGTGCCCCCTCCATTCACATCTGTACATATTTTGCTATCCTGCCCCCCCTCCTGCAGAAGAGTGCCAAGGTGACACCCTGCGCCATGTGCTTCACACTGCGTTCTTCAGCCGAGATGGTGGAGAGCGTCAGTAGTCAGGGCCGGACCGAGCTCTTCTGCTCTGCTGGCTGCGTGACGGCCCACAAAGTGAACAACATCTGCTCCTCCAGTACGCTTCGCCTCTAAGTGCCCGCACATGCTCATTTCACACTCGCACCATGTGACCCACCCACTCCCCTCCACAGAGAGGGCGGTCCAGTGTAACCAGTGCAGGGTGACGGCCGTGCCCCAGTATCACTTGGCCATGTCTGATTCGTCTATGCGCCACTTCTGCTCCTACAACTGCGTCGTGAACTTCCAGGTTTGACTGTTTTGACTTGACTCCCGGCTGCATCACATATGATGATAGAGGATCTGAGGTTGGAGCATTCTGACCTGTGACCCCTCTCAACCCCCAGACTGTGTTTAACAAAGCGGCCCCACAGTCCCAGCTCAGCGTGGTTCCCCCAGTCACTGCTGTCTCCGGGCCTGCCCCTCCTGCCCCTCAGCCTGTGACACCCACCGTGGTTGCCCCCGAAGCTGGGGTCGCCGGAGCCACTGGCACCGCCGGAGCCAACACCCGTGTGGGGCCCATCTCTGCTGTCCGCGGGCCGGTGAAACTGACCTGCAGGCACTGCTGTCGGCTCTTTGCCTCCAAGCCGGAACTCTTTGAGTTCAAGGTATCTTTCCCTGTGTCTGTCGGTCTTTTGGAACTCTAACTTGCATGTTAACCCTGCTTGCTTGCTAACTATGGGGTGCTAACTCTGCTTGCTTGCTAACTATGGGGCGCTAACCCTGCTTGCTTGCTAACTATGGGGCGCTAGCCCTGCTTGCTTGCTAAGTGCGTGGCGCTAGCCCTGCTTGCTTGCTAAGTGCGTGGCGCTAGCCCTGCTTGCTTGCTAAGTGCGTGGCGCTAGCCCTGCTTG